CTGTCCATCAATGGACATGTATTGTGTGTTTTGTGATGAACGATATTAAGTTACTGTAAATTCCGTTAAAATGAATCCTGGAAGCAGCCGGACCAATTTGGTATGAAGGTTGACTCTTACCTGATATGCTTTCAAGCATACAGTTTGCATGAAATGTAATTTTTATTCAAAGATTATTTAAGTTAGGTTGTCTGATTTTAAGATACTTAAAGTCTACCGAAATTATTAAATATCAAAAAGGACATTATCGATTTCAGTTGATTCAATGCTCGGTATTTGGTGGTGCTTTGGTTAAATGTGCTGCAATATGGTGGCATTATGTATTAACTTGCCTGTTGCAAGGTGATAATTGTGCATAACAAAATTTATTTAAAGATGCAATCTTTGAACGTTTACTTGTATTCAAATTACTTATTTTCAGATCAGTTTGTAAAATATTCTTTCTGTAGATAAAGATATATTCAGAAAAATACATATTTTGTTGTGATTCTCAATACAGTAACTAGTAAGTTTGAGTCAGGCCCTATAAACGTTAGAACCACTGCATTTGATTCTACTTGCACATATCATTGTAACCCCACCTATATACATTAAAATTTAATGTACACATTCAAACTTCTCTGCCTACACAAAACATCCTAACTCAACCTATACTACAGTGTAACTCAAAGTACACACCCAAGTCAACAACATTCTCGCTCTACCTATGCCTCATTCTTCCAGCTGATATGTGCACCTATTCTAACTCTCCCTTGACACCTTATTCAAACTTGAGCTATGTACATCATCCTAATTACACACTGCAACTCGAGCTGTGTACATCATTCTAACTCCATTTCTCATTCCAACTCATCTACACACCTGATTATAATCCTAACATACCATAACTCGACCTACAAACTGTCTAACTTTCACATTATATCTTTACCTGCACTCAAAATCTTACCTACACATCCCATTCTAACTCAAGCTATGTACATCATCCTACCTACACGTTGCCACTTGACAGACCTCCATTCTAAAGCTCATTCTAACTCAACCAACACACACCATTCAAACTCCACTCTTTAACACACCTCATTCCTACATTCAAACTCCATCTACACACATCATTTTAACTCAACTGCACACAATCCAGCTTCACATGCATAAAAGTACATCCATTCATGACTTGAACATTCTAACTCTACCTACACTATTCTTCTAGCTAGACTTGTACACCTTATTCTAACCTACCTACACACATCTAAACATGCATGCCATTATAACTATTTTCATACATTAACTCAACCAACATGTCACATTCAAACTCCATTAACATATCTCGTTATAACTCCACCTACAAATATTCCAACTCATCCTAAATTCATTGAAGACCAAGACAATATTCTAACTCTACCTACCCTTTCTTCCGGCTCAACTTGCAATCTCATTGTAACTCATCCACATTCAAATTTGACCACCACAACTCGTTCTAACTCTACCTCCACAATCTATCTCAACATACATTCATTTAAGACCAACATTCTAACTCCACATACACACCCCATTCGACCTTGATATACTCGTCTCATTCTAACTCCACCTACATGCAATACAATGTACACATTTCTAACTCCACCCACATACATGTATTATTCTAACAAGCCTACATAGCTTTCTAACTTGAGTCGTGTACATCATAACCAACAATGAATGTATAAACCTAATTTTAGCTCCATCTACACACACTTGTAATATCAATACACACCCTGCATTCTAAGCCATGTATAGTATGAAATACTGTGTTATGCATAAAAGTTTATACACACTTTTTGCTGGTTTCAAATAAGGCAGTGATGGTATGAATTTACTAGAGTTGTATTTTAGTACATATGGTTTAAAGAATGGAAGAATATTTTTAATACAGAATGTACATATCACAAATAATATTCAGAAGATTTTTATTTAGTTTATAACTTCCTCTCATCAGCTGCTGGTTAGCATATCTGTGCGAGCTTCAATAATTTTCTGCTCCTTTTTAAAAACAATGGTAAAAAAATACTGGTCATAATCTGTAGCCATTCTTTTCTGGTTCAAAAAAAATAGTGACGTTAAAAAAAATTCATTGTTTATATATATATATATATATATATATATATATATATATATATATGCATTCGGAAATTATTAAAAATTAGTGGGAAAATATTTACTAAAATATTAAAACCCAAACAAACTTTAATAATCAAAAAATATAAAAATATAACAAGTCAAATATATAGTAAGTTATTTGTACACATATCGTACAGACCGGGTTTCTGCACGTAAAATTATGTATGTAGCGAATATAATATAGGTGGAACCACGAATACGCTTCAACCAATGAAAAACTTGCACGTAGCCCAACGACAAAAACAAAACATAACAATACTAGTATGATTAAATGCAGCATGTTAAAATTAACTGGTTCGAAGAGAAATAATTTCCAAATCCTTGTTTACGTACACTGTCCTTGAAAATTTCAAATAATGCAGGTGCCATTGTATGTTTGTTGACGTCGCGCCATATTGACAAAGCGAGTACATCTGATCTGCTCCTCACAACCATCGTTTTGTATGCACCTCGAATCAAATGTTTACTACAGATTCGACCAACACTTTACACATGGAGTTTCTGAAAAACAAAATGTATAGATTAAATTGCATGTTATACCGACAGAAGCGGTGAACAACGCCGTTTTCCAACACTAACCCTTGGTCACAACACTAACGTTGCCAACCTTCAGGCAGCGTTGTGGACTTCTTGCATATCTTTGCATTTGAATCCATGCGCATCAGAAGCCTACTAAATATAGAAGAATTGCGTGTGTAATGAATACTTATATATTTTGTAACCATAAATTTAAATATTATCATGCTGTAAGAATCTATATCACAACTCACCAGGTTTAATTCAGATCGAGTTTCATGTGTAAACTAGCCCCGCACTACTTAACGCGGATGGCTACAACCTTCGCTTTTGGTGTGTCGTGATATCGAGTGCATGGAGCCATTTGCAAATATTGCTGTGTGAAGTTGTTATAGGCTGTATGAAGTCTCCCTAATCGCACTACGTAATTGTTAGCAATTTTATGGAATATTCACAACACCCGAGAAAGGCCCCGTCATTCAGAGGACACAGACCGCACTCCAAATTCGTCGTTTTGTCACACATAGGACGTTTGTCGCGAAGAAATATATGGTGACACGAATTTTTACGTTTGATGCATGTACATATGTATGGTTGACCTTCGTGTTCTGGTATATCGTTTCTGAAGTGTTTGACGATTCCACGGCGACAGAATGGATTCATACCAAGGGTTGAGTCGTGCACAGCTCGACATAAAGTATCTTCACACCAACTCGTGAGTGTATGGTTCACGATTATTGTAATGTCATGGCTGCTTGTGGGCTGCCTGTAAGAAAATGGATGCGTGCCCTGATTTGTGTAAAGATGACAGAGCTTTGAAACCGTCGTAGACGGGACGGGGAAACGGCAATGTTATGCGAAAACCTAAATTGTTTTTGCCTGTTGACCACACTTCGCGCATTTAATTTGTGTATTGCATTGACGCTGTTTTTGTTTAGTTTGATGAAGATGTTTAATGGTAATGCTTTTCAGCAATGTGGTAACAAAATGTCAATGATGAATACCAAGTCTTCGCTTACTAAATTATCAAGTTCGCCGGAAAGGAGAGAATGTCGATATGAGGTTAACATGGACGTCATTTTGATAGATTATATTAGTTTGAGGGGTGACTGACTTAATACTAGAAAGTGGTGTATTGTCTACTAGTATTGAAGAAATACTAGAGATGTATTAAATGGCGGCAAAGGGTCACATTCCTGCATGAAGAAAGCCAACTTATGTAAATTATTTCTATTGAGTTCCGGCGTGTCTCAATCGCCCTCTGACGCGCCAATCACGCACGTCAATCGCATATGGTGCGTGATTGGCGCTAAGCGTCTTATTTGTTTCATACACTGGTGATTAACAAGAGTAAATATTTTAACAATCATCATTGAGTGAGCATGTGTTTGAAATATATAAAAAAAAACCTTATTTTAAATATATAATTGTTATTATCTGGGTCAAGAAAATGAAAAATCTGAGAAAAAAAATTAAAAAAAAGTATTTTAGCAATAGTATTAAACTGTCAAATATGGTTTAGATAATTTTAACTATATAATTTTCTTTCGATTTTGAAGGCTTTATAACTGAAAAACATGCAAATATATGAACGTTAACTTTTAGATTTTCTTCTTATGTTTAAAACACTGATAGGGTTTTCACTCTTCAAAGATAATAATCATAATAAATCATTTATTTGCATATTATGATTATCCGCTTTTATTTATTCTGCTGATATCAGACAAAATAAAAATGTATATGGGCATTCAACAATATCTCATTACATATTTTCAAACTTGCCAATTTAATTACATTGCACTCATGATATTTACTGAAATTTCTTTTACTGCATTCACTTATTTACAGTGACAGTGTTTTCCATGAATTATTATTAGTTTAGTTTAAATATGCATAGTATGAACATCATTTTTGAGCTGATTACATACAATCAATCAATACATGTAACCAGTCATCACTTGGGTTCTTGGACGTTCACTGATTTATGGTTTGGTATCTAATTTCAACTTTGATATGGGTTCCATACAGCCTATGCAGTTTATGTAAAATGTATTTTTGTTTGTACGAGATTCAAACATGTTCTGCATGACGACTAGTTTACAGTATATTTACAAGTGTTATTTATAATTTAATATAATTTATGATTAGTAACTTGTCTGAACCATCAACCATTTTGCGCAACATTACTGAAAAGCACTCATCTTGATTTGAAATAGTGTCCTACAACAAACTTATCAAATCATACCTTTTTAAAGTTAGATTAATGCGTATGGTAATCTCATATTGGTTACAGCTTTGTTCTGAATTGTTTTTTTTTTTGTTTTTTTCAGAACTACTCATGAATTTCTATTTGGAGCATTAGCTGAGTTGTTGGACAATGCAAGGTGAATTTTTAACAGACCTGCCTTTCCTGCTTGCCTGCTTCAATAGTTGTTCTTCTGCTTCTATATTATTTTTATTAAGTAGTACATTTTAGCAAATTGTGCATCTTGTACCTCTACGTGTACAGTAACACCTTATCATTGCATTTGATATGGTTCCAATAACCTTTGACACTAGTTTACTTGTTAAATATATATACAGTGATGTACAATAAAGATTTGTGTTTCACATATACATTGTCCCAAAGATGCATGATCACATTATGTTAAACAATATATCTAGTACATGATGAATTTTAACTAGTATTATAGTTGTTTTTGCTTATTCAGCTTTAAAGCCTTATTTTTATGGCAGGTATTTATTCTGTCCTCTTCTGATCCTAAATAAAGATTCCTCAGGCTACAAGTATACTGGCACTCCACTTTGTTATTCAAATCTCCAAAGGAGCATCTCATCAACTCTGCATGTCATTTGTGCACCAAACATTGCATGTTTCTATTATATTGTATGCTTTTCAAATTGGCTTTCATTGTTTTACAATCCTCACTTTATGCTTTGCATACATAGAGAATGGTCACTTTGAATGGTAGCTTATTAGATCCTTGTTAATTTCTTCAAAATGTCAATTATTGAAGGTCTTCAGTGTTATAGTTGTGCTTTGCTGGTAACACTTTGCTTAATTTGCATATACTGTGAATACCTCTTTTTGTATTGGTGTGTTTAAAAACACCAATATGCGTACATGGTGAACACTTCTTTTTGCTAATTATTTGGGCAGGATTTAGTACTTAGATTTTCTTTTGTTTAATTTGCATTTGTGAATTCTCTTCTGCAAATTAAGTTTAGTTGTATATAGTGTTTGCCGCAAATGGAACAGTCCTGCTCACTCTCTTCAAAACAGATGACAACACTTAATGTATACCATGGAGTCCATGTGTCTGTCTCTTACTGATTTGACTTTTTAGGGTAGTGTGCTTGTTGGCTGATATTGTTTTATTCTTATGGATTGTTTTGTCAGTCGTTTGTTTTGTGTTCTTGGACTTGTAAATTTCCCTATATGACTTTTGTCTAAAGATATACAGTTAGGTATGTTATTTCTATCCTACTGCTATGCTAGGGAAAACAAAAAGTGTTTTGTTTATAAAACATGTGGTGCTGGTGAATAATCATTTAGTTCGGTATTGATTGGAAATGACCCAGTCTAACTGAAATGCAATTGTTGGAAAGATTGTATACATTTAGTAACTTTTGTGGCAAGGTCAAGCAAATGGATAAGATTCAGCAGGCCACTTAACATTTTAGTTATGTTTGATAATTTCCAATGGTTGTTTTAGGGTTGTATCTTTGTTATATTAGTGAGGACAAAAGTGGTATGCACTTGTGCATGATTAATAGTAGTTGCAAATATGGACTATTAGTCTTTTTTTTTTTCAATTTGACCATGTAAGTAAATTGCCTTTTCCTGCACTTGATAATACACGCTGTTTAGGGAGGATCTAATGCATTAAATCAAATGATTAATACGGTTGGTTTATCTATGTTTTACAAATGGGTCGTGCTTTTTGTTTAATTTAGGTAGTTAATTTGGGTTCTTTCACTCTGGAATTTATGTTTATAAATTCTGTAGTTTGTGTTTATCTTGGGGTTATAAGTTGTGTTCATTATTGCAATGTTTCAAGGCTGTTTTAACAAACACTGGTCTGTTGCAATCTCTAGTTTTCCTATGTTGTGAATGTTAAGTATATGAAAATACAATATACCTATAATATATAATCAATGGGTTCAGTATTAATAAAACATGCATAGAACTTTTTAAAGTCGTTTATTCATTTAATGTTTACAGAGATGCAGGTGCATCAAGAATTGAAGTTGACACAGGTATGTTTTGTTTTTTGCAAATATGTTTTATATAAATTGTCCATGGATTGCCAATTCACTGATTAGTCACTGCAGACTCACCTATTTTCACGAGGATAATGAAGCCTAGACAATAGTTGGCTATGTGAACAATTGAAAGCATTGTATACCAGTCCAAATGGCATTATGCAAATGGTTGTATGCTAATGAGTGGAAGCAGTGACCATTACCCTGGGGCAAGTTGATGCACCGACTGGGAGGTACTGCTCTTACTGATTGTTTGTATAAAGGTGTTCACTATAAACTTGGTAGTAAGTGAGCCATAAGCTTCTGAATTGAATTGCTATTGCAATAAACTGAAGGAAACCGCCAGTACCTGGATATTACGTACACAATACGATTGTTCTTGTAAATTTATTATATCATTTCTTGCTATGGCTCAGTATTTTTGGGTCCTGAGAAATTTACTTGGTGTTTTGGGGTTCTGAGAAATTTACTCTCAAAGTAAAAATGCACACTAGTTTGGGTTTGTCGAAATGACATACAAAGTAGAAATGTATGTAAAAGTATAGTTGCCTGGAATCTTTACATTTTGTATATTAGTTTTTAATACATTAGAGGCTGTGAGACGCATTAACATTTTGTCTGCAAGGTAACTACAGTAATTTTTTTTTCAGTTCTAAATGATGAAGTTCAAGGTGGTTATCTTATATATTTCCTTGATGATGGTGAAGGAATGGATCCTGGTGAGTCTTGCCAAAAATATTCATTTATATGCAAAGTTGATTAGATAATAGCGCCATGACTTGCCAACATAATTAAATGTTTCCCGGAACATTTCATCAACAAATTATTTACATATTACAAATTACATATTTTTTTGGTTTAGAGAATTCTACAATGTAAAGTACTTTTTGTTTTTTTATGTGGTTGAGATTGAAGGCAGGATTATTGATACTGTGAAATATTTGAATTCAAAATTGTTTTTATACAGGTGACACTGCTAGTATAATAACATTTGGTAAATCATCCAAAAGAGCAATACATTCTAATATGATTGGACAATATGGTAATGGCTTGAAATCGTAAGTATTCGTTTTCAAGATTCTCAATGAAATGATGGCTGTTTTTAATAATTAATAATAAGTATGTTTGAAACCGTTATCACTAGAAATATTCTGATATAATAATTTGTGAAAAATGCTCATGTACTTGATGAATACATTATTTAAATGCTTGAGGTTTTTTCAATTATACTATTTGAACTACTTTGTAGGTAATGTGTCATCAGTTTTCAGTGTTCAGTTTTCATGTGTATCGCCTTTTTTAATTTCCTGTTTTCATTCTTGTTATTTTTATTTAGTGGTTCCATGAGAATAGGCAAGGATATGATTTTGTTTACTAAAAAAGATGACACAAAGAGCTGTCTTTTCATATCTCGAACATTTCATGAAGATAAAAACATTGAAGAAGTCATTGTTCCAATTCCATCTTTTAATGGTAGAACAAATCAGCCTTTATTGAAGAATGGTGCTGATATTACAAAGGTATGGATATATGCTATTAACCATAAAGGTGACATATTTTTTCGTGCAGGATATGGTGCAACATTGTCTTTTTCTTTTTTGGACCAAATGGTTATAATTCCATATTGGCTACATGTTTTTTTTGTGGGTGGTGTTTTTATTTGTAAATGGTGAAGACATAAATAATAACATATTTGACATATTCACGTAAGTGCCAGTTGTAATATTTGTTTATTCATAGTTGTGTTTCTTGAAAATACTTGAAAAAATGGGCAGCTAACCAGAGTTTCTCTATAGATAAGCATTTTATCTATTTACAAGTTATCATGCATCCATTTAGTACATTGGTAACATCTAAATGTTTTACTCATTAGCCTGTACACTGATTTTTACAAGTTGTGTATACATTTGCTCTGATTTTTGTGTTGAGGAGAACTGCTGGTAATAAAGACATTTCCAGCGGAAGTATGCAAACAAACCTGAGAGTTTTGTTTTTATAATAAAATTTACGAATTGATGTGTTCTGGTAATTTACCAGGACCAAATCGGAAAGAGAAGGCAGAGAATAAAAAATTACATTGAAAGACTGCAAAAACAATGAATACATTTTAATAGGTAATAACAGAAAACAATTCCTATTAACATCTTATTAACTAATTCTAGCTAAATAAAAATTAAGCAAATGTACATATTACAAATCACGTCTATACATTTACCATGAAATCTATCATTGTGTTTCTATCAATGCCAAACAAATGCAAAAATTCTTCAACCAAAGCAGTGGACACTTTTATTGGAATGGGAATCAGTGATAAGCATCAATTGATCATACTGACAAGTAGTTTGAAGAAATGACAGTACCAAGATGAGTTGGCTGCATATTTAAATCATTGAAAGAATAACATCAGGGTTTTCAGACTTAAAATGTTGTATTTTCGTGTGTAAATTTCAGTGTGAACCCACAAATGTACTTATTACAAACCATACCCAAACTTTTGAACTTATTGTGTAAGTAACAACATTGTAATACAACTTTAGTAATAATAATAAAATAATTTTAGTAGTGTAATTTTGTTATCAAAGTGTCCAGATAGTGATTATATGTTTGATAGAAACTCTGGTGTTGTATTAATAGGCTTGCAGTAATATCCTGAATTTAATTGATTTGCACATTATAACATCTATTAAAAATTTGTGAGAAATTGATTTAGGCAACGTTGAGAACAATAGGGGCTTGAAGAAATAAATAGACAGAAGATTCATTATACATTATGGTTGTACTATATTGTCGCCTCTCTTCTGACACTAGCATGAACAGGAGATGGAACTCATTTTGAAGTATTCACCATTTCATTCAGAAAAAGACTTTATGGCACAATTTGATAAGATAACAGCTCCATCTGGTAAGTACATGGGTTATTCACATGTATGGAATGTTTGTATAAAATACATTTTGTTCCCATATTGCTCAATAGATGCAA